CAGGGGTGGTCCTGGAACACAGGCAAACTGAATTTATAGACTCAGCTGATGTAAATCAGCACCGCTCCCTCAATGCAAAAAGAAATTATTGTGTCTTTTGCATTTTACACAACAGAAATACTACATAGAAACAACAAAGGCATGGTGGGCTTCAAATAACTGTACTGACCAACTACACACAATACACAAGATCTAGTTACACATTACACACAAAAACTAATGTTAAAAATACTATTTAGGTTGCAAAGTTGAACGTGCAAAAGTCAGGAAATGCCAGAATTAATGTTGTCAGCATCTGTATTAGTATATGACCATGTAATTAAAGACCATGCCATAGTGCTCAAGAAGAGCTAAATAAAGATTGTAAAACAACCTCAATTCTGGCAATTCTTAGCTTTTGAGTGTTTGCCTTTGAAAACTCAGTAATGTTCTTTTCATATTGGGTTTGTGTGTGGAGTTTCCCAGGTTTTTTAAAAAGCAAACGGCAAAACAGAAATTCTGGACTGTTAGAGATAAGCATCCAGGTCTTTTCTCCTTCTTTTTCCCTACCTCTCTTGTCCTACCCCGGGTTTGGGAAGATTTCATATTCCATGGGCTGGTTTCCCTCATGGAAGAGAATACCTCTGTCATCCCCTTTGACTGCAATAGGAGGAATTTAGGATTTCTCATACAAAACCAGTCCATCAATCAATCTAGTGTGAGACCCTGCCTTCAGGAGTGGCTAAGGCAGCACATGATGCTTCAGAAGAAGGCAAAAGCTCCCATAAGGAACTCAGCCAGTTTGAAACTGCTATATATCTTTTGACCCACACAGTGATCAGTTTATGCCCTGAAGTGACTGATTCCCCATCTCCTCACCAGCAGGACTATACTCACTCTTTCTTTCACGCTCTCTAAAATACTATAAATATATGTAATATATAGAGCATTGTGTTCTCTATAATTCTGTATTTCTGCAGCAGCCCTGTGGTTACCTTTGCTATATGTAAACAGTACAGGGCACTTTCGACACTGTTATTACCTAGGTAACCATAACAACAGGAGTTGATAACCCAAGGCTAGAAGTGATCCCTGCAGGTTTCTGTTTCACAGAGCGCTGCTCAGCATTCCCATCCCCAGATCATATTGCATGTCACATTGCATGACAGTCCCGCTCTCGGGGGCCCCCTTTGTTTGTCACAGCAACAGTGAAATAGATGTTTCACTGCAGGACACAGAAAACTGACAGCAGTTGGCTGGTTAATTTCAGCTTGTGATTAACTGTTATGAGCCAGGGCTGGGGTTTGTGCCTGTTTTTTCACAGTGCCTGGCACACTGGGGTTCTGATATCAACTGGGGCCTCTAGACGCTACCACAGTGCAAATCCTAAACAATGAATAGCAATCATTACTTCCGCAGACCAGAAATATGGTGCATCCGGGTATTAGTCATGGGAACCTTACCATTAGGGTTGCCAACTTTCTAATTGCACAAAACTGAACACCATTGCCCTGCCCCTTCCCAAAGTCCCCACCCTTTCTCTGAGGCCCCCCTCCCTCTGTTGCTCGCTCTCCCCCACCCTCACTCACTTTCACTGGGCTGGGGCAGGGCATTGGGGGCAGGAGGGGTTGAGGGCTCCAACTGGGGGTGCGGGCTCTGGGGCGGGGCTGGGGATGAAGGGTTTGAGGTGCAAGAGGGGGCTCTGGGCTGGGGTCAAGGGGTTTGGAGTGCAGGAGTGGGCTCAGGGCTGGGGCAAGGGGTTGGGATGTGGGCTCTGGGAGGGAGTTTGGGTACGTGAGGGGATTCCGACCTGGGGTAGGAGGATGGAGTGCAGGTGGGGGTGCGGGGTCTGGGAGGGAGTTAGGATTCTGGGAGGGGATTCTGACCTGGGGCAGGAGGTTCAGGGTGTGGGCTCTGGCCGGGCAGGGCTTACCTCAGGCGGCTTCCGGTCAGCGGTGCTGAAGGGCTAAGGCAGGCTCCCTGCCTGCTCTGGCTCCGCACTGTTCCTGGAAGCAGCCGGCATGTCCAGCCATTCGGTGGAGGCGTGGCCAGTTGGCTCTGCGCGGTGCATGCTGCCTGCACCCGCTGCCCCTGCAGTTCCCACTGGCCACTGTTCCCAGCCAATGGGAACTGCAGAGTCGGCACTGGGGGCGGAGGCAGCGCACGGAGCCCCCCCGATCACCCCTGCGCCTAGGAGCCAGACATGCCGGCTGCTTCTGGAAGCAGCGCAGAGCCAGGGCAGGCACGGAGCCAGCCTTAGCCCCAGGACCCTGCCGACCGGACTTTTAACGGCCCGGTCAGCAGTGCTGACCCAGAGCGGCCAGGGTTCCTTTTCGACTGGGCGTTCCGGTCGAAAACCAGAGGCCTGGCAACCCTACTTGCCATCTCTATCCCAATGAAGTCAGGTTGTGTAGGATGGGCTTTTAAAGGGTTTTTATTCACTTCCAGAAAAGCTATGAAGTAGGAAACAAACCTATCCCATTTTCTGGTCAAAAAATTCAATTGTAGACAGAAGTATGTTGCCCAGGTGCACACTGTTCCCCCTGGAGAACTACTGGGGAGATACAACTGTAACAAAAGCACGCAGGTAGCTGATTTGCAAGTTCACCATTTCCTGTGTTCCTTGGATGCAGGACAAGTGTCTCAGCGTTAGTCGCAGCCAGCCCAATTCTCGTCCTGCTGACACCAGTCCAAATGAGGGGCAACTCCATTGACGTCCATGTGGTTTTTCCTGTGTTAAATAGGTGTAGGTGAGATCAGGCTCAGGCGCAGGCTCCGGCCCAGGACATGCACACCCAGGATAGATAGATTATGCTTCGGGGGTTCTGGGTGGGAAGAACTCTGGCCGAGTTCTCTCAGCCGGGCTGTTTGTGACTCTCCCTCTCCTTGTTGTCTTGTGTCACTCCATTTTACCCCCTTGGGCACAACTCAGGAGAAACACACGGGACGGATCCATGTTGAGTTACACCAGCTGAGAATGTGGCCCATGAGTCTCTATTTAAGTGTGCTAGAGGCTATGAACAAATGCTGCCTTATCTTCCTTTGTGAGTTCAGCCTGGACAGAAGCTCAGAAAAATCTGATAGAGCTCTGCATTCATGAAATGTACCCAGATCTGCATAAACTCTCACTCCGTTTCCTGGCCCTGTTCATTACTTGCATCAGACACAGGCACCCTGCACCCTCAAACAATTTCAGACAATGAAATTGTCACATGTTTATTTTAACCACCTGGAGATCTCAGGCTGGCTGCGGTATAAGTCTACAACAGGCTGCCCTTAGGCATCTAGTTACTATTGCATGTGACACACCTAGTAACACACTGTTGCTCTACACAACTCTCTGTGGTCAGTCTTCTTGGTGTTCAGAGTTGATCTGAAAATATGGTATGTAAAATTTTATAAATGGCAATTTTTCTAAATAACTTCTCTGTAGGAATAGAACAGAAGGTATCCCATCCCATTCAGGATGATTGTATAGCACTGAGAGCAGAATTTTAGAATCCTGTAACAGATGTCCTGATTTTAATGGTTAAATACTTGTTACATTTTACAGTTTGTGGATATTAACCCTCAACAGAATTTCCAGCTACAAAGGCTAATGAGAAAGATTCCTTGAAACTATATAGAGAGGTTTACAGATTTTTAAAATATCTTTTAAGCCTGGTTATCTAACTGCTCTAATATGTATGTTTGTATTTTAGGACACAAAATGACCAAACACTGTGTCATGGAATAACTTAGATTTAAGTCAGAGTTAGGTAACACAAAAAAGTGTTTTTGGCCTGTGGATGGCACAAATCAAAAATTTTGCAATATTTAAATACAGTCAATGTATCTGTTTAACATGTGGTGTTTGAAAGCAGTCAGAACTGTGTGCTACCATGAAGAACTGTGTGTGTGTATATATATGTGTGTGAGAGAGACAGAACATTTAAACAGCTGTAACTCAAAAAGGATGGGTTTCTTTTTAAAGTTTCCACTTTAAAGCATTAAAAGCTGAAAAGTACCATTCAGCATAGTTACCATCTGTTGATTTTCCACATATCTAGAGATTGCTCGGTCTTCAATATATCAGTAGCTGACATGTATTTCCCTGCAGAATTTAACAAAATAAACCGATACCATTTCCTCACAGAGAATCATTTTCTAATAGTCTCTTCTATTTACACAGGCTATTCTTTATATGGGTATGTGCGTCTCTGTGCATGTATATGCGTGTACATATACAGTGTAGTTATAGCCATATGTTATTGGGATTCATACACTGTGGATGCATGCATATGTTTTAGGTGTGTATAGGTGTGCTGTATAGAGGTGTTTGTATGAACATTAGATATGTATTTGTAAATGTAGGTATGTGTATGCGTACAGATGTGAGTGCTAAGGCCACTATATTAAAAAGTGATTTTCTGAAATTGGCTCCTAAATACACATTTAGGAACCTAAATAAGTTCTCTGATTTTCAAAAAGGTTGAGCACAGCAGTTTGCATTGACTTTGTATAGGCATACATGTGTATGCAAAAACCATTGGTATGTGCATCTTCAGTATATGAGTGAGTTCTATACAGAGTTGGTAAAAACGTATTTTAATTACCACAAAAAATTGAAGAAAATTTTCCTAAAAATAATTTGGTTTTTCATCCCCCCCAAAATAAATAAATAAATAATTTAAAAAAGAACCATTGGAGGAGCTGGTTTGTTTGTTTGTTTTTGACAAAAATCCAAAATATTCCAACAAAAACAGAAATTTTCTTGCAAAAATTTAACAAGCCATTTTTTTGTTCTGAAAAATGTTTTGATAAAATGTTGCAGCCAGCCCTAGGATCACAGAGATTTGAATGTATGCAGATGAAAGGTAGCTTTGTGTTTGCACACAGTAGATGTTCATGCTCAGTGCAGATCTCTGTGTGTGAAGAACGATAAACATACCTACCAGCCTTTTTTCCTTATTTTCCAGCCTTTCTCCCAAAATACATATTACCCATTGCATTGGCCTGTCTTCAGATCTAAGTGGCTGGGTATGCCAGGGCACACCACCTCCATGAGCTACCCTACTAGTGGGATTGTCTTTGGGAACATGCTGGCCAACCCAGGTAGAATTCCCGCCTTCAAATTCCAGTCCCGTCGAGACAGCGTTGACTGGAGGCGGTTCAGTGCCATAGACGTGGAACGGGTGGCTCGGGAGCTGGACGTGACCACGCTCCAAGAGAACATTGCCAGTGTCACCTTCTGTAACCTGGACTCGGAGAAGTGCCCGCACTGCCAGCAGCCCATAGACCCGGTTCTCTTAAAGGTCCTTAAGATGGCACAGCTGACCATCGAATACCTGCTGCACTCACAGGAGTACCTGACTGCCAGCCTGGCGCTGCAGGAGGAGCAGCTGCAGGCTACCCAGGAGGAGCTGAAGCGCACCAAGCAGGAGCTGGACAAGCAGGCAGAGGAGTTGAAGGGAGTGAAGGAGGAGAGCCGGAGGCGGAAGAAGATGATTGCCACCCAACAGCTCCTCTTGCAGGCTGGGACCAATAACTACCACAAGGTGAGCTCTGGGGCAGAGAACAAAAATAACCTTCCAGCCTTGATTGTCCTGGAGGTGTGAGAGGAAGGAGCCTTTTCACCAGTGACCTCAGCGGCAATGGCAATTCAGTCCCCAGCAGCACTAGGTAAGCGTGACCTAGACCAGGCGCTAGACAGAAAAATTCCTTGTTCAGCCCTGATCCAGCCAAGCTGAACTGGAACCTTGCGAAGAGTTCCATTGACTACTGCCCTTCTTCTAGGTAAGTGTGTGCTTAAGTGCTTGGTGGGATCATGGCCCTGGTGGCTTGGGCACTCACCCAGGATGTGAGAGACCCTGATCAAGTTCCCCCTCTGCCTGCTGAGGAGAAGGGATTTGATCAGGGATCTCCCACGTCTCAGATGAGCTCCCCGAACCACTGGGCTATGGGACGTTCTGAGGTGGGTCTCTTCCAGTCTCTCCTGTTGAAGCCTCTTTCATTAAATATCAGTTGGGCCAGAGCCAGTGAGAATGACTCTCTAGCCCAGCAGTTGGAGCAGTCCCCTGAGAGGTGGCAGATGCCTGGTCAAACCCCTTCTCTCCCCCAGGCAGCTGAACTGGGGTCTGCCACATCGGGGGTGAGGGCTCTAACTACTGGGCTAAAAAATTTAAGGGAGGAGATCCTCCTCCTTCCCCCCTCCCCCCAGGCTGTTTTGTGTGGAGTGAGGGAGGTACCTAAGATGCCCAGCTCCCGGTGAGGGGCCTCCCTGCAGCCCAGACTTAGGTGCCTAACTCCGGGAAGGGGTGTGGCTTAGGGCACACCCCTCTCCTCAGCATCTCCCATTGGCTATCTTAGACGGCTCCCTGCCTAGCGTGCTGGCTTTGTGGATCCCATTCTTAGGTGCCTCTCTCTCCCCATTTGTTGTACAAGGAGCCTAGGTGCCTCTCTCAGGCTCTGTGGACCCCAGTGTGTTCCTGTGATTTGCTAGGCACCTAAAAGTTAGGGGTTGCAATGCCGAAGGCCCTTTGTGGATCCAAGCTGAGGTGCTCAGATTCTACGGTCCTGGGGGACATATAAATACCTATGATAGCTATATGACAGGAAATGCTAGGATTCCTTTCTTTGGAAGCCAGTAGCACATTTCTTTCCTCCAGTCTTATTGTACCTACCCATTTATCCATAATTATTAAAAACAAGTGATTGCCAATAAATCACCACATCGGTCAGCTAATTTCCTTACTGCTGTGCAATGCATGTCCTACAAGCCATCAGATTTATATTCATCTATTCCAAACCGTCTCTTAGCCGCAGCTCTTCCGTCTTTATTAATGGCTCCAGCTTCACTTCCATCTTTTTCCAGTTGAAGACCAATTTTTTTTTTTTAAATTGCAGTATTTCAGCCATTTTTGAATCATTAATTCATCCTCCTCTTCGTTTGTTAATGAGCCTACTCTCTCCCTAGTACTTCTTTCCTCCTGAATATCTTTATAAAAGCTCTTCTTTTTGTCCTTCATCACCCTGTGGCTGCTATTGACTCGTTTTGGTCTTCTGTAGCCAAAAGTTTTCCCTGCAAGCCTGAGCGGTCTCTGAATCTTCTTCTTGGATTGTCTCTTCTTCTCCAACCCTACGAGAGGTTCTCTTTTGGCCTCAGAGTAAAGATGCTCTGATAATCGTGCTGTGATAAGGTTCTGACTCAGCGACAAAGTGTCCTGTGGCATCTTATAGACCAACAGAAGTATTGGAGCATAAGCTTTCGTGGGTGAATACCCACTTCGTCAGATGCATGTGGTGGAAATTTCTGACTCAGTTATCCAAGTATGTTGGGAACTCTGCTTTCAACTAACAGAATGAAGTCTTTTTGTTTGGGGTGGGACGGTAGGATGGGATGGGATAATCTGACCCCTTTCACTCATTCGCTTTTTCTAATGCCCAGTGTCAGCTGTGTGACAAGGCCTTCATGAACTACTCCTACCTCCAAGCCCACATGCAGCGCAGACACACTGAGGCCAGCGAAGCTGGTGAGTATGGGGCTGAGCTTTTCTCCTTCAGCTTCTTTTTGGAAGGGTTTTAGGCCTCCTAGCTGCAGGGGATGACAAGCCTTGGAGAGGAGCGACATGGGCATGCAGCATACTTAATTGTTTTTAAGACTGGCTTTCTCTGATATACTTTTGTTCTAAGTAGATCATACTTTCCTTTAAGGAAGCTGCTGGGTCACTAATTTTCACTGTCATTGCCCTGATGGGAGCAGCACTGCAGGGTCTGAATCCAAGTCCAAGCTGCTAAGGTGATCGCAGTGCATTGCCACCCAGCATCCAGTCTGAGAGTGGGAAAAACGTATCTTCTCACCCCTCAAAAGAGGTGACAGACCCAGGGCTGGGACCTAGAGTGGGTGCTGTCAGAGAGACCAGGGGCTGTGTGAGGTACAGTGAGCCCAATAACTATGATACTCAGCATCTCAGAAAATCAAGCTGTATATTTAGGTTCATAGAAATGGATCTACATGACTAGCATTAGGCGCCCATCTGCACTGCTGAAGATCCCAAATCTGTAATGAAGCATTTGCATCTAAAATGAGAGACAACACATTTGAAAACATAGCGATGTCTCCTTTATTCAAAAAAAAAAAAAAGAAAGGGAAAAAAAAGAAAGAAAGGAGAGACAGGGTGGCCTAGTGGCTAGAGCAATGGACTGGAACTCAGGAGGTCTAGGTTCTAATCCTGGTGCTGCCACTGGCCTGCTGGGTGACCCTACGCAAGTCACTTCCCCTTCTGTGCCTCAGTTTCCCCATCTGTAAAATAGAGATGATGCTACTGATCTCCTTTGTAAAGCACTTTGTTATCTATAGAATTACTTAGTCACTTATCAAGACCAGAATTCCAGTGCTTCAACTTGGCAGAGAAGAGAAGTCAGAACTGGAGCCACACAGACACTATAGTCACCTGTTCCACTACCCACAAACAAGTTGCCCGAAGGAAAGAAATCACAACATTGAGTACAAAAAATTCAAGCTGAGCTCAACTCAAGGATGGCTCTCCAGCTGCTGTGATATACATTCTGTCCAGCAGAGGGTAGTGGTGTTATACATATATCTTACACATGTGTCCAATCCTTAAGCCATTTTCCCAAGTATCTTATTTTAAAATTGCAGCAGCTGTTCAAAAAAACTTGCAGTGAAAAGCAAAAAATGGCTTGGCGTTTTTAATTTTGTTACAAATTTGAACATGTGCCACATTTTGCAAATGTTTTTCAATGAAAATTGGGCCCCTTTTTTGGGGCAAATGACTCAAGGACTGATCCTGAAGCTTTAAAGTCAACGGGAGTTTTGTCACTGGCTTTAATGAAAGCAGGATCAGATCCTAAACACCCCAAATAAGTCACAGCAGAAGCCTCTGGCAATTCAGGCCATTGTTCATGGTTCCACGGTTTGAATGGCCTTCACAGAGAGACAGAAGAAGAAGCAGGTGGAGCAAATGGAGGATGAGATTCAAGAACTAAGAATGAAGCTGAAAGAGACCCATACCCAGCTGGAAATTGAGAGAGAGGCTGAGACTCAGCGCAGGGTTCAGGTATGAAAAAAAAGTGTATTTCCAAGGATTTGGGGGGAAAACGGGGGAGGGAGGGAGGGAGGGAGGAAGAGGGACATTTATTTTACTTAGGGTGACCAGACAGCAAGTGTGAAAAATCGGGACAGGAGGTGGGGGTTAATAGGAGCCTATATAAGAAAAAGCCCCAAATATCGGGACTGTCCCTATAAAATCGGGACATCTGGTCACCCTAATTTTACTTTGACCTGGAACAAAATGAAAAACTCAGTGAACATTTTCCAACATCAAGGAAAAGTCTAATTTCTTTTGAAATTTTTCACAGAAAATCTGCAATGAAAGGCAAAACTGCTTGACAGTAACAAACTTTTTGATATATCCTAAAAGTAACATTCCTTTAAAAACAAACAAACTTTCATATAAATGTTGGCCTAGTCTACACTAGAAAAGGTTTTCTGGTGTCACAATACAGGTATATACAGTCAGTGCTATACCAGCAAACCCTCCTGCTGGAGATGCAGCTATTACTGCCAAAGAGTGCTTTTGCTGGTATCGCTTATACTAGTTCCCCAAACTGAATAAGCCATGCTGACAAATGGTCTTTTTGCCAGTATAACTTCAGTTACACTAGGGCTTCTTCCACTATCAAAATGTCATTAAGTCATAGCCCTGACTGATATTATTATACCAGCAAACGTTTCCACGGTAGACCTGACTTTAGCCCAAGGCTGTCTCCACACATGTTTTTTGCAGTGGTGTAACTAAGGATATGTCTACACTGCAATCACAGGGTGTGGCTGCAGTTGGTTGTAGACATATCTGAGCTAGTTCTCATCTAGCTAGCTAGGGTACCAGAGCAGTGACGCTGTGGCAGCTGGGCTGTACTAGCCAACTTGGAATTCTGGGTAATTCACAGTGTTCTCATAAACAAACTAGGGAAAGCAACCTAGATGGAGCTACTATATGGTGGGTGCATAACTGGTTGGAAAACCGTTCCCAGAGAGTAGTTATCAGTCATTCAAAGTCAATCTGGAAGGGCATAACAAGTGGGGTCCTGCAGGGATCAGTTCTGGGTCCTGTTCTGTTCAATATCTTCATCAATGATTTGGATAATGGCACAGAGATTACACTTATAAAGTTTGTGCATGATACCAAGCTGGGAGGGGTCACAAGTGCTTTGGAGGATAGGATTAAAATTCAATCTAATCAGGCCAAACTGGAGAAATGATCTGAAGTAAACAAGATTAAATTCAATAAGGACAAATGCAAAGTACTCCACTTAGGACCGAACAATCAGTTGCACATATACAAAACAAAATGACTGCTTAGAAAGGAGTACTATGGAAAGGGATCTGGGGGTCATAGTGGATCACAAATTAAATATGAGTCAACAGTATAATACTGTTGCAAAAAAACACAAACATCATTCTGGGATGTATTAGCAGGAGTGTTGTAAGCAAGATACGAGAAGTAATTCTTCCACTCTACTCAGGGCCGGCTCCAGGCACCAGCCCACCAAGCTTGTGCTTGGGGCGGCACCTGGAGGGGGGCGGCGCGGCGCTCCGGCTCCCGCCGCCGAGGAGAGCGGGGCCACGGCCGGGCTCGCCGCCCTGCCCCCGGCGCTCTGGCCGCCGGGGG